AGAATCCTCAAGAGGATTGTTCATGCCTTCAGTTTCATTGCAGCCCTTACTGCTGTCATCTCCTGGACTACCAGTACCATGTGAACCACTTTCAACAGGTCGTTCTGTCTGAATGACTACACCAAATAGCTGAAATGATACCGACCCAGGTTTCATTGAGTTGCAGTTGTAGTTCCGAACAAAATCTGTGCCAAAGGAAGGCAAACTACTCTGGCTCTCTGGTGAAAAATCATCAGATTGAGAACTGCCAACATTTAGCTCAGTTGACAAAGATTTCAACCCCAGCACTGTGTTGTTGCCAAAGGAGTTACTCATACACAGACGGGGGTTTTCACCTGGAAAGTTGGAAAAACCCAGCCTCATTAAGAGCAATAAGAGACCTTAAGTCTAAGCCTCCAACCTCAATGCTTTGACAACAAGCCTTCTAAACAACAGTAACTAGCTTCCTTTTAGAGGTATCTACTGACCAAATGATGTTCCTGGACCACCTTTCAATATCCTTGAGCAGGGCAATTGGCCAAGTATATATCATCAGAGTATGCAGCAACATCCTTTGTAACATCCTGTTAGTGATGGCCCTGGAACCTGCATAAGCTGACCATTGATACAAATGGAAATATAAGCAGACTCATCCATGAGAACCAAACCATTACATGCACAAGACACAAACAATATAGTATTCACACTTTCTAACCTGAACATACAGAACATTCTCAGAAGGGTGGGCATTGATGAGCATAACAGCAACCAAGCCTTCAAACCTGCATAAGCTGACCATTGATACAAATGGACATATAAGCAGACTCTAGAATGCATTTAATCCACTTGGAGAAAATAGGATGAAGCTGCAAAGACTCATCCATGAGAACCAAACCATTACATGCACAAGACACAAACGATATAGTATTCACCCTTGCTAACCTGAACGTACAGAACATTCTCAGAAGGGTAAGCATTGATGAGCATAACAGCAACCAAGCCTTCAAACGTAAAAATGTAAAAACAGATCTTGAGAGGAACAAAATACGAGTCACTCATGACTCTAAAAAAGTGTTTGGTTGGTTATACATGGATTCAAAATACGAGTCACTCATGACTCCAAAAAAATTTCAAAAAGTGCCTGCTGCAAATATAAGAAAAAAGATAAGAATACATGTTTTATTTAACAAAAACACATTAACAAAAATACAAGGGAATTGAACCTGAATATGTTTTTCAGGTACAGACCGAAGTCTGTGACTGAGTATGAGAAGAAGATAGTGCTCCACTTCCGGCTGAAGTTTCAGTAAATCCTAAAATATATTTAAAACATAATAAGAAATTACAAACATAATAAGAAAACCTTAACTTTAACATTTTACAAACAGAATAAAAACTTACACTTAAAGAAAAATAGACGCAATACCTAGTAAAGCATCTTCAGATATCTCATAATCCTCGTTAAATTCCATGCCTTTGAATTGGTAAAAGGTAGGTCTCAACCAGTTCTGAGTACAAATTAAAGCTTCAGCCATTTCTGGTTTGAGAGAGCTTCTGTATACCTCTAAAACCCTCCCACCCGTGCTAAATGCACTCTCAGAAGCCACAGTTGAAACTGGTGTAGGCATGATATCTCTAACTATTTGGGACAGAACCGGGTATTGACCAGCATTATGTTTCCACCAACAAAGAATGTCGAACTTTTCTTTATCTTTTTCATTGAAAGTTAAACATTTTCCAGCAATATAACTCTGAAGCTCGGTTTCTTCTTCCACTGAATCAATAGACATCAAATGTTCCTGAAAAGCATTTTCTCTAGCTATATATGTGGGTAATTCGTCACTGGCAACCGTTTCACCATGAGAAACAACAGCTGCAACAGATGTGACTGAGCCTCCAGCAATGTCATGGGCTTGTTTGTAAAGATCAAACATCTTTGAAAGATTGTCATTGATATCTTTTAATACGGATTTCTTAGTGTCTGAATCTTTTCCATACATATCATCAAAGCACCATTCCACATATCTTAACTTATACCGGGGATCAAAAATAATACCAAAATAAAGGAGCTGGTTCATCTTAGTGATATCAACCCAGTACTTACAAAACTTTTCCAACATGTCCCGTGCTACATTTGCAAACAATCCATTAAGGTCCATGTTTAATTTCTTAAGTTCAATGTAGATTTCAGCCAAGAATGGAAAAGCAGTATGCAGACTTGCTTTTGTTGAAACAGAAAAAACATTTGTCGCTTCATAATATTTTTTCAAAAACTTAATAAAAACTCTAACATTATCCCAATCTTGACTACTAGAGGGGGAATCACCGTCAAAGAAATCTCTATAGTCTTCATCCCCATCTTCTAGTTTATCAAAAGCAGTTTGAAATTTCTCAGCCGCATCTAACATCAAATATGTCGAGTTCCATCTAGTTGAAACATCAAGACATACTGACTTCTTACATGTAATCCCAGCATATTCCACACACTCCTTGAACTTTAAAGCTCTATGGGGTGAAGATCTCACAAACCTAATAGCATTTCTAACACTTGAAATTGAGGTGCTGGCTACTTTTAATCCATCTCTAACAACCAAATTCAGTATATGAGCACAACACCTCATGTGAAACCCAAACCCATCCATTAAAAGTCCATTCATATTTCTTACTTTCTGCTCTAAATATTTAACAGCAACATCATTTGATGCCGCATTATCAACCGTAATGGTAGAAACATTTCTCAGCCCCCACTCCTTCAATACACCCTCAACCTTCTTACCAACCGTTCTACCACGGTGATTTGGAATAACGGTAAAGCTAATAATCCTCTTTTGGTAATTCCAATCCCTATCAATAAAATGGGCAGTTAGGGTCAAATAGTTTAGATTTTGGACAGATGTCCAACAATCTGTTGTTATTGCCACCCTACTACAATCAGATTTAAAGAATGCCTTCAACCTCACTTTCTCATCAAGATATAATTGAAAACAGTCTCTAGCTATGGTTCTCCTTGACGGTATAGAAAATTGGGGTTGCAATTGCTTACAAAAGTACTTGAACCCCTCTCCTTCAACTGTAATAAAGGGTTTCTCATCCAAAATGATAAAATAAGCTAACCCCTTTCTACAACCTACAAGATCTAACCTAGAACTTGTTGGAACCAGCCCAACTCCCTGAGTTGTTGAAAATGTCAAGATTGTTTGGGTGGGGTCAGTTGACAAGTTCAACGGATACTTAGGGCATGTTTTCATGTGACTCTTTAAGTTTGAAGTTCCATGTTTCTTAGAGTCACACATGTACATTTGATGGCAGTATTTACATGCAGCAGTAGGGGGGTCACTATTAGGAATAAGGTTAAAGCAATCCCAAACCTCGGATCTCTTTCTATTACCATTAGCATTAGGTCTTCTTTTCTTAGGAATAGGCAGAAGATTTGTGGTTGGTTCAATAGGTGTTGCGGTTGTTGGAGTGTCTTGCTCCATAACTGAGCAAATAAGCAAAGCCAAAAATAAACACAAATGAATAACCAAACATAGACACAAATAAGAAACTAACACAAATAATAATAATAGTAATTGGAGTGCACATTGAAGAGAATAAACACCTGAAATCAAAAGCTTAAGAGAGACGGTGATGGCGGTACCGAGAGACGATGATGGAGTTGCGTTAACCCTAACCTGAAACCAACAAGGATGATGGTTTGTGTGTTAGTTGAGAGAGAGAGAGAGAGAGAGAGAGAGAGAGAGAGAGAGAGAGAGAGAGAGAGAGAGAGAGAGAGTGTGTGAGAATTAGCCTGAAAGTTGGAGAGTGACGGTCGGTTGGAGTGATAACTGGAAAGATTTATGCAAAGCCATTGAAATTGAGATGAGTTTCTTCAAACCCTAACCCCTGTGAAGAAGAAGTCTGTCTTCAAACCCTAACCCATGTGAAGAAGAAGCACCCCTGTGAAGAAGAAACGTAACCTGTGAAGAAGAAGCGTGTCTTCAAACCCTAACCAGTAACCGCTGTGAAGAATAAGTATTTCTGTGTAATGTGAAATGGATATGTCTTATTCACGCGTGTTTGAGAAGAAGCGGTCGGTTTCGGTTTCCGACGGGTCCCAAATTACAAACCGAATCCGACCATTCGTATCCATCAAAATCCAATCAAACGGTCCAGAAATATCCGTCATCCGAATTAAACCGACCCGTGTTGCAAAATCCATTTCGGATTGGTCGGGTAACCTCGGATGGTTACCGATTGTCCACCCCTAGATATAAGTGCGGGTGCAAATACCTTAGTATTCACTCCGTCTCATACCCGCACAAAGTTTATTTATATATTTAATTTATATCAACATATAAAAATATATGTTTATCTATTTAAAAAAAATACATTGTACTTAAATTATTAGACATTTTAATATAAGTATTACTTTATTTCCTAATTCAATATTCATATCTTTGAACTTTTTATTAATTTTGTTAAAAATTTAAAATGGTACAATATTTTTTAATTGATAGATTTATTTTTTTACTAAAACACGGGTATAAAATACGAATACTTAACTATCCATAAGCAGCTGTACCAGTAGTATGAGTTTGGTAAAAAAAAAAGTTTAACAACTAAAACCCTAAATTCCAAATAAAATTAAACCCTATAGCAATACAACAACTCAGTAGCTCCATCGAAGCAACAAACCGGAATCACCCCGAACTCAACTGGCCGGAAAATAAAAGGTTGCCGGAAACGCTAAAGAAGTTGATTCCTCTCTCGCGTTCGTTCGACTCTGTTTGTCTTCACCTCTCTCGCGTTTGATTTATGCGTATAGTCATTATTCATATAATTTGTCTAAAATATAATTTAATACTAGTCATTCTGCAATACCATTTTTGTGATTGGCCTCCGCTCCACTACGCTATTCGGGATTGATAACTCTGATTTAATGTAGTTTTATGAATTTTTGTTAGGTTTTAGTTATCATCTTTTCAAGCCTTATGCATTTTGTTTTTAAATTTCACTGTGCATTTCATTTTTGTTCGGGAATGTCGGAGAAAAAGCCGGTGGTTGGCCTCTCATGGCAACCACAGTTGCCTTTTCCATCTCTGTCAAAGGCTACAAATGATCCATCTCATGCCCAATTTCTAGCCAAGGGACCGAATAACACTATTTGGAAACCAAATTCCGAATTTGTTAGTGGGCTATTGGTTCCTCCCAATGACCCCAGAAAATTAAATAAGTTATTGAGACAACAAGTTAAGGATACTGCTGCAAAAGGATGGTATGATCTAAAGTAAGTTTTGCCTTTTCTTAATGCAACCAAGGTTGAAATCTTTTTGTTTAGTTGTCTATATCATTTTTTACACTACTTAACTGAACATTTAGTGATACGGGTTTTTTTTTATCAGTTATACATTCATTTAGTTGAAATATATGGTAAGACTAGACATGATAGGGTTAGAAATGACAACATTAGAGACGGAGAGAGAGAGAGTTAAGGGACTAGCGCCTATTGTAAAAGAGATGATAGAAACTCGGCTTAGATGGCTCTGACAGATGCAGAGTAGTCAAATAACTAAAGGTACAAAAAGCCTAGAAAAATGATTGATCTAGAGATTATTGAGTTGGATAGAGATATAATAATGATATTAGAGTATAGTAGCAAGTCTGCATATAATTAGCAAAAAATAGTTAGAAAGCTCTAGAAGGTTTTTACAACAACCATGTGCTGAGCTGTAACTGAGTGTAACTAACTCAGTTCAGACTCGGCCTATTATAAATAAAAGTTGGCTATTTCATTGTAAAATTAACATTCATTTTCTCATAAATTCATTAGAGTTATAAACACAATTCTCTCTTCAGTCAACTCTTACAAAATTAATATGAACAATTCTTCATCCCCATAAATAGAAAAGTGGAAGGGACGAAGAATTGTTCATATTGATTTTGTAAGAGTTGGTAGAAGAGAGAGTTGTGTTTATAACTCTAATGAATTTAAGAGAAAATGAATGTTAGTTTTACAATGAAATAACCAACACTTTTCTATTAAATGATTGAACATTATGGCATCCGGCATATGATCTAATGTAGCCGATCACACTTAGTGGGATGAGACATTTTTATGTTTTGTTTGATTGTTTGTTTTGAAAGGATAAGATTTGGCTGTTGTTGAATATTTATTTATACATTTCCTTTGATTTTTATGTTTGCTGTGTGCTCTTACATTAGAAATCATAATGGAAGTTATCTAATTATATTTAAATCTTTACAGGTTTGACATGTCTGCTCAAACCATGACCCCTGAGCTGCAGAGAAATCTGAAGTTACTAAAGGTGATTGAGTTTTGAACATTATGTTCTATCTCCCCTCCCCTCCCAAAGTGGATCTGGAATATATTCATTTGTCATTATGATGAGACATGATATTTTCTTAGATTAAGTTGGTAAGCATGACATTTACATGCACTAGTATCCTCGATGATAAGAAAGAATGAAAAGCAAATGTTGGATACTGTTTTTCTGCAAAGATTTGCTATTTACAAACTAAAATGTCTGTTAGATTTAAGAGAGTAGTAATTTTTTTTTGTGTGTGTGTGTGTGTGTGTGTGTGTGTGTGTGTATGTATGTGTGTGTGTGTGTGTGTGTGTGTGTGTGTGTGTGTGTGTGTGTGTGTGTGTGTGTGTGTGTGTGTGTGTGAGATGTTGAATCGAACTCTAGTATGGTCGAAGTCTGTTCTAACATGCATTAGTCAATATTGCTAGCGTTGTTAGCATGTTGAATTGGGCCTTGCTTGTAAGCCCAATTGTTTAAGTTAGCTTGTAATGGGTAATTGTTAAAAAGCCCATTAGGTTATTGTGTTATTTTATTATAAATAGGATGTTAGTTTCTCAATCTTGGCATAAGAAAAAATAGGAAGATAAAATCATAATTTCAAGAGAGAGAGGTTATTTTGTTATTCTTGTATACTTGTAATCTTGTTCTAAGAGAAAGGAAAGAATAGCAGTTTAATAACCAATCCTTGTTGTTTTCTTCTTTATTAACCCTAACCCTTGTGTGTTTCTTGCTAAGAAATCGTTTATACTTTGTTTAAAGGTATCTGATTCACAACAAATTGGTGCGGTGAGTGTGGAGAAGATGCTTTCAACAAAGTATGAGATTGAAAAGTTCACCGGAGTGAACGACTTTCGGTCTGTGGCGCTTGAAGATGAAAGCCCTATTGGTTCAACAGGGTTGTTTGGAAGCGTTGAAGGGTGAGACAGCCATGGACGCTGCATTAACGAAAAAAGAAAAGACGAGCATGATCGAGAAAGCCCACATCGCAATATTGTTGAGCCTTGGTGATAAGGTTCTTCGACAGGTATCAAAGGAGACTACAACATTGGGATTATGGGTGAAACTTGAAAGTTTGTACATGACCAAATCTCTGGTGAATCGACTCTACCTGAAGCAAGCTTTATATTCATTCAAGATGAGTGAAGACAAAGTGTTGGCAGAGCAGTTGGATATGTTCAACAAGTTGATTCTTGATCTTGAAAATATTGATGTGAAGATCGACGATGAAGATCAAGCACTGTTGCTGCTGTGTGCTTTGCCTATATCACATGCTCACTTAAAAGAAACTCTCTTGTATGGAAGGGAGTCCCTGACCTTTGAGGAAGTTCAATAAGCTTTGTACTCTAAGGACTTGACCGAACGAAAGGAGTATAAACCTTCGACGGTGGGCGAAGGTTTGGCCGTTAAGGGAAAATTCTTGCGAAAGGATGGTAAGTTCGACAAGAAGCAAGGTAAAAGTCAACAGAAGTCTTATAGTGGCGAAACATCTAGTATTCGATGTTATCACTGTAAGAAGGAGGGTCACATAAGAAAGGTGTGCCCTAAACGCCTGAAAGATCATGGAGGTAATGGCAATGCAACCATTGTTCAAGATGACTTCGACTCATCTGATGTTCTTGTGGTTTCAAGTGGCGACTCGAGGAAAAATGGATTATGGATTCAGGTTGCACTTGGCACATGACTCTAAACAGAGAATTGTTCGAGGAGCTATGTGATCAAGATGGTGGATTTGTGCTGCTGGGAAACAACAAATCTTGCAAAATTGCAGGTATTGGATCTGTGAGATTCAAGCTCCATGATGAGTCAATAAGGTTATTGACTGAAGTCAGGTACGTACCTGACTTGAAGAGAAATTTGATTTCTCTTGGTGAATTTGATAGAAAAGGATACGTTTTTCAAGGAGAGAAAAGTATCCTAAGATTCATAAAGGGGTCGAAGGAAGTCTTGAGAGGCGTGAAGAAACAAGACTTGTATACCCTTGAGGTTGAGGTTGTAAGTGGTTCGACAAATGTTGCATCCACGAAACTTATGTCGAAGACAGAATTATGGCACATGAGATTGGGCCATGTCAGCGAAAGAGGCCTGGTCGAATTGGGGAAGCAGAACCTGCTAGGAGGTGACAAAGTCGAAAAGTTGGAATTTTGTGAATCTTGTGTATTTGGTAAATCCTGTAGGGCGAAGTTTAACAAAGGCAAGCAAAGAACACATGGATCCCTGGATTATATTCATGCTGATCTTTGGGGGCCTGCAAGGAATCCTTCACACTCAGGTGCAAGGTATTTTCTATCCATCGTTAATGACTATTCCAGAAAGCTATGGGTATTCATTCAGAAGACGAAGGATGAAACTTTTGAGAATTTCAAAAGTTGGAAGATTCTGGTCGAAACGCAAACTGGCAGAGAGGTTAAGAGGTTGAGAATCGACAATGGCCTTGAATTTTGCAACGAAACATTCAACAGTTACTGTGTTGAGTCTGGGATAGCAAGACATAAGACTGCAGTAGGTACTCCTCAACAAAATGGCTTAGCTGAGAGATTCAATCGAACAATCCTTGAAAGGGTCAGATGCATGTTGGTTAGTGTTGGATTGAAGAAGGTGTTTTGGGCGGAAGCTGTTTCAACAACAACTTACCTGATAAATAGATGTCTAATAAGGTAGAAAGTATGAAAAAATTTAGAATGTTGAACAATGAATCTGGTGTTTTGAATTAGACTCTTCAAGTTGGAAGAGAAGGCAAAATTTTCACTAATATAGGGTTTAACTATCAGACTGTAAAGAATCAAAGAAAAACCAGTGCTAAGAAGGATGAGGTGTCTAACCAAATGTTATAACATCCAGCCAGACCTCAGAAAACCCATACCAGGGCTAAGCTTCAACCTTGGAAATGTCACTATTATGGAAGATATGGTCAAATAAAACCCATTTTATACAAATTGTATGGATACTGAACACTGGCACAAGACTAAAGATAATCATGTAGGAAAAAGGGAGACTGGTGTTGTGGGCATAGTTCTAGGTATATTAGCTCATATGTCTCCAAAAGACTCCTCTCAAGCTATCTGGTATGCTGATACTGAGTGGGGTAGACATAAGATGAGTGTTAAAAACTATCTGGTTAACAATGATCTCTGTGTCATAAATCTATCACATTTTGCGATGGTACAAATGAACAGAATGAGGCTATATCCAAGGATGACAATTGAATTCTCAAGCTAGAAAGTATGACTAAAAAAACTATAGAAATATCCTTAGACTGAGAATTGAGAAGAAAAACATAATGTCTAATCTGATGATGGGACATCTCAATCAGACCAAAAATATCAGGGTAAAACTGGAAGTTTTGTTTTATGAGCAATTAAGGGAATTATTAGTGGGTGCGTATATAAAGGATTTTCTATATCTCCAATTAAAACGGAAATAATCTCATTGTAAATCATTACTTTCTTTCCATACTTCTCAAAATTACGTAAAATCTCGCTACAACTACTCCACTATTCATCTCTCGTGCCTAAACAAACTGCTCATCTCCCATTATCTCAACATGTAATCTGATTCCATGATGTCAAACATTTCCATCTCTACTCCATGCAAGAGTTTTGAAGAAAAGAATATGGAAACCCCTACAAAATCTAGGGTTTCACCTTCAACAACTGAGGCCTTTTCGCCATATGTCATTACTGATGTTTTTCCTCTCTCTGTTGTTCATCCTCAAGAAGGTGTCAAATCCCATGGATGCAAGAAGGCTAAGACATTTAAGGTTAGTAAAGACTCTTCTTTTTCAAAAGATGGTCAAAAACTCTGTAGCTCTAGGAAGTCTATAGTCCCTGGTACAAAGAAACCTCTATCTATGAAAATTTTGTACCTTGATCCTCTCCCTACTAGTCAGAGTCATCTAAAGTCTGACCCTAAGGTAACCACTAATGAGGGTGATATTTAACTCACTATTCCTGAAGCCAGTATGAATATTAAGGATGCTAATTACAAAGAGATTAGGAACAAAGTTAGTCAGAAATGGGGTGATATTGCTCAAGAGGTCCGTGAAAATGATGTTTCTAAGTCTGTTAACATTGGATCCAATATTGAGTCAGATATTTAGACATCCTTGGCCTAGACTGAACATAGAAACTATATCATAGGTGAGGATGAAAATATAAACACTGACAGGAAGCTCCAAAAGTTTGTGGCTAGTGTTATGAAAGAAGCTCAATAGGAGACTAAACAAAGTGGTTCCACTGTCGTGACTGGTCAACATGAAGGGAAACCTACGAGTCATCATCAAAGTGAGATGGCTACAAAAACGGCATCCTTTAATGCTCCTAGGAAGCATGATCAAGAAGAAGTAACTACCAAAAGTCAAAGTGAGATGAGAAAATAAATAATGATGTTTGATGATAAGGAAGGACTATCTGACAAAGAAAATGACTCTGAACACAAGACTCCTGCAACTGTTAATCTGAGTTCAGATGATGAGACGTTGGCAACAAGTATTACTAAAAAGATAAAAAGGAGGAAAGGAGAGACTAATGTGTCAACAAGAAAATAACATAGGAACTTTAAGAAAAAACCTAGTGTAGGACCTGAGAAATACTGAAGCAAAGTGGTGTCCCCTGTTCCAAAGAAGAAATCATTGAAGAGGAAAAAACCCCTTCAAGTGACTCTGAGATTGAAATACATGTTGAAACAGATGTCTAAGACATCATGCCCTCTAGAAGAAAGGTTGTTGTAGGAAAGAAGGTACCTGCAAATATTCCTGATGTGGACATTAATAACATCTCCTTTCATTTTGTGGAAATTGTTGAAAAATGGAGGTTTATCTGTCAGAGGAGGATAACACTTGAAAGGGAAGTTAGTAAGGATGCTCTTGAGCTCAGGGAGGTAATGAGTCTCATTAAATATGATGGGTTGATAAGAACTGTAGATGGGATGGGGAAGTGATATGAAATACTGGTAAAGGAATTTATAGTGAACGTCCCTACAAACTGTAACGACAAGAGAAGTAATGAGTAGAGGAAAGT